AATTAGTGATATCAAACTATCCTCCAACAATCGTATGACTTCTCAAGAACCTATCAATACTTAATCCTCATGCTTGTGTTTGTGTCTGTTCGTATTCCTTTCTTCCATTTCTTTCGACAAGCCATTTTCTTTCTATTCGATCTCGTTTTCCTCGCTCGTTTTACATAGGTTGGTTCTAGAGTTAGGTTGTGCACATCCGAACATTTGAAATTCCGCTGAAAAAAGACCAATCGATGGTCGAAGTCGAATTAATCCAAACCTGAGCCGGGATTAGACGACGAAATATTTGGTGAAACAACACCAACAAATAATAGTTTTGAATATTTTGAATGAATAGTCGACAACAAATTTGGAAAAATAGTAGCACTACCCATTAACATTCTGGTCAAGTCGGCCAAACTTATTTTTCTTGAACTTGACAGTTCGTTTGTTAATGACCCATATTGCTATACGTTTCCATTTCTGCATTCTACTGCTTTTAAGATGTATATATAACTGAGTTGATAAAATGAATAAGATTTTGAAAGCAATGAAATTAGTCCCCTTTGTTTCGAAGAATAGTAGTGCGAATTTATTTTGCGGGTAAGTGTCATGCAGGCAACTGTCCCGCAGGCAAGTGTCCGCTGCGTGCATGTGTCCTCCGCAGGCAAGTGTCCTACGGGCAACTGTCCCGCGGGCATCTGTCCGACGGGCAAGTGTTCTGCGGGCAAGTGTGCGTATACCCATTTTATATTCATTTCAGTCGAATTCAATTCTACGAGACAAGCCAAAGAAGGAGATCCTATACATTCAAAGTGTCTTCGGGATTCATCATTTTGATTAGAACATTATTAGCATTTAAGCATCTTGTTATTCTATCGTGTTGATTGAAGGTAAGAATAGTTTTTTTTTTTCATATTTTTCTTATTATTAAGGGCAATAATTGAAAAATTATTCATAGGAACAAATTTCAAGATTTTGATAAGAATTCATAGTCTTATGATTTATTTTTTTTTCTTTCATAATTTTTTGTTTAGAATATCAAAACATCTTGGATATCTGAGCTGATTAATTATTCTAATAAATTTGCGTTAGAAAATGTCGAACACACATGTATTATCATCTTCTATGATGAACAATCAATTGAAACAGTCAAAAGCGCTTGTCAAAGTAACCGATGTTAATTATGAAAATTTCAAAAACGTTCAACAACAGAACACTCCTATCATATACAATCAATCAAGACAATTAAATACGTTATCATCTAGAGCTTATTATCTTCCATCGAATTCTCCGTCAATCAAAGAAATATCTCCAAGAAGAGATGCATTCGAAGATGCCACACAACAAAAATCAAATTTAATCGAAAAGAATATGTTAGTATTTGTAGTTTATATTGTATTTATTTTTCAGTCCAAAAAATACGTACTCTTTTGTAGAAAAGTACAAGTATGGAAAAAAGTTAGACCTATGCTCATTGGTTTCAGCTTGGCTCTTGGTGTAACCATATGTGTCATTGCTGGTTTAGTTATATTTATAACTACAAAACCAAAAGAATCAAATAGTTCATCAAGTGAGTATTGTTTTCTTAAATTTATTAAATTTAAAATGAGATTTTAAGATGCTAAAAAAAATACATTAAACTATTTCAAAGATATGAAGAAATTTATTTTTTTCAAGAATTTCATAAGTATTTTCAATTGTCTTATAAAATAGGTAACACTACTCAACAGACATGTGATGTCACTTGTACAATGTCAGGAACTCCATATCGTCCGTCAACTATTGCATATTGGCCATTCAACGGCAATCTTTATGATTTGAATAATATCTATTCTGGAACTTACTCTGTACCATCATCTTCACCTAGTTATACGACTGATAGTTTCGATCAAGCAATAGTATTTGATGGAAGTCATTATGTTAATGTAGATACACATTTTCTCAATCTAAGCTATCGAAGTTGGACTATAGAAGGGTAAGTAAAAATATTCGATAAACAATGATTACTATTGTTGTACGTTAATATTTCTCTGTTAGGTGGATCTTATTAAGTGATTTATCTAGTGAACGTGGCATTTTCAGTCAATCTCGGTCATCGACGACAACTGGACAATGTTTCAATTTAAGTGTCAAAAATAAACGTTTGTATTCTACTTTCACCAATGATGACATCAGCGGTACCACTTATTTAACGATATCAACAACCAAATAGTATCATGTAGCTTTCGTTTGTGACTATAGTTTAATGAAACAGTCAATTTATCTCAATGGAGTGCTTGATGGAACAACAGGAGGAACTGGAACATCATCTGGTCCGTATAAAGGAACTACAGGTAGTGTTATGATTGGTCGAATATATAGTGGTTCTTACTTCAAAGGCGACATGGATCATTTACAAGTAATAAGTGGTGCCAAAACGACTTGTCAAATCTTGAGTGATGCAATACTCACCGCCTATTATTCATTTGATGCTAGTGTTTTGAATCTCGATCTCAGTAACAATTATATTAATGGAATATCTAGTTCAATAAGTGTTGTATCGGGTCGTATTAATGAAGCTTATTTCTTTCAAGGAACAACATCTTATTTTCAGTCGACAGCATTCACAGCGTACTCTACTGGACACTCATTCAGCATTTCTTTATGGGTAAAACCATCCTCAGTTCTTGGTGGCACACTGATTCACCTATCGACTGGTAGCGATGGTACAGGTACAGCTTGTTTTGATCTTTTAGGATTCAGTTCAACAGGTCAATTAATTGCAAATTTATATGATACATATTCGTGCTGTTACACTTATTATAGTACTAGTATTGGTGGTCCAATTATGAGTACCAGCATATGGACACATATCGTTTTAACGTATAGTTCAAGCAATGGTATGGCACTTTATACAAATGGAACATTACATGTTGTCAATGATGCCTTCACATCATTTCCTTCTAATGGAATTGTTTTCACAAGTCGACCATACATGATTGTCGGAAATCCTTCAACTACAGGCTCGGTGCCATCATGATGTCTAGTTACAAGTCCAGCTCTTTCTCCAGGTCATTATCAAGGTATTATTGATGACTTACGAATATATAGTCGTGAACTAACATCATCTGAAGTATGTTCGTTGTATAATCTATAAAAACAAATCTTATGATATTATATTTCATTTGATTAAAAAGAACGAAAATTCTTTTTGTTTGTTTTCATTTTATTTATATTTCTCTAATCATGGTGTTTCTTTGTTTTTTTTATACACTAATTTTTAATTTTTCTTTTTCTTGTTTTTACTTCAGCTCTTATATTTTATACAAATATGTATCTTAATCTGTTTATTTTCAAATAAAACTCGAATACTAAATTATACATAATTTGTCTATTATTTAAAAAAAAAATTACAATCATATAAAATTTATTTTACTATTTAAGTACTTTAGTAAGAAAAACTTTTTTGAATTGAAAAATATTAAAAATCATACATATACTACATCGGTTTCAATTTTATTGAGGACGAAATTGATTCGATTTTCAAGTATTATTTGATACTACCCATGTCGCGAAAATCGAGACGATTTTTCCGATTTCCAAAAAAATCGGCGTAAAATCGTGATTAATCGGATTCTGTACAAAAATCAGCGATTAAATCAGATTTTATCGCTATTATCGTCAAAGAAACGATATTTTCGAAATCGGTGATAAATCAAGCGATTAATCACGATTTAATCACTGATTTCTGTATTCTATTCTTAATTGTCAATCAATTAGAAGCATACTCAAAGATTAGTATGAAACCAAGAGTGAAATATATTTCATATATCGTTTTCTAACATATTCATGGAAATTCAGAGATAAAAACAAAATTCTTTTTGTATGGGTGTCGATACTGTGATACGTATAAGATTGGAGGATTTTGAATAATAATTGAACTGCAATAAAGACACTTCATATACACTCAATAAGTCGTCTATCCCATGTAAAAAAATTTAACAGAAAAATCAACAAATACATGATTTTCATCGATTTCAAGCATAATTAATCAATGAAAATCCAGAAATGTTGATTTTTTTCGATTAATTTGAAGATTATAATCGATTTCCTTGCATAATTGATTCAGAATCAAAGGTTTTTCATCGATTATCATCAATTCTTTTCATTGGAATCGAATAAAATCGATTATAACCAACTATAATCGGTTTGCTACGATTTTTTATTAATCAATTAGAATCAATTTTTAGGGATAATCAATTTTAATCAGTATTTGATGATTTTTTGATCGTCTAAACCAACTATCAAGGATTATAATCTACTAAAATCGATTAAGTATTCGAATCGATTATAATCATGAATCTCAGAATCATCTAAAATCTAACGAAACTGATTATAATCTAACAAAATCGATCAAGTTTTCAAATCGATTGTAATCATTAAAGTAAGAATCGTCTAAAATCATCCGATGCTGATTATAATCTAAAAAACGATTAAGTTTTCGAATCGATTACAATTATTAACATAAGAATTGTCTAAAATCAACTAATACTGATTATAATCCACCACAATCGATTAGGTTCTTTATTTTCTAAAGATGTAAATTTTCTTTATCGTTGTCTACATGAGTAGATAAATTAAAACACGTTATGAGAGAAGTAGAATACAAGTGAAAAGGAATGAAAAATAAATTATTCAGCGAAATGAAGCAGTGTGATGATGAAAAAACGCAGTTGTGATTATTACAGAAAAAAGTATATGGGAGTGGCTAGTCAACCTGATACTCCAATTCTTTTTTTGTACGTGAAGCTTCTATAATATATCAGAAAAATATGATTTTTTTTTACCGGTTATAGTCCTCGTATAATGCTGATGATATCTGTCAGGGATAAGGAGGTCTGTAACTTGTTGGAAATCAAAATAATCAAGTGTCTTCAAAAAACCTTTTTGTTATTTATGAACATGTTTTGTGAAGACTTGATTATCTTGGTTTTCAACAAGTGATAGACCTCCTTATCCATGACAGATCATCAGCATTATACGAGGCCTATAACCGGCAAAAAAAAATCGTATTTTTCTGATATATTATAGAAACTGCACGTACAAAAAAGGAATTCGAATATCAGACTGACCAGCAACTCCCATATATTTTTAGACTAATGACTACTTTAATGCAGTATTTTACAAAAAAATGAGGAAAAAAGTTTAATTATTCTTCGATAATAAAATGCACGTAGCTTCATAATTAAAAATCGCAATCGAGTTGTTACAAAACTTCTTAGTCAACATTTGTTTCATTGCTTTTCACAGTTAAACTGGAAACTGCAATTGAATGTAGAAGGAACTTTTATCTAAATCTCGGAAATGAAATTAGAACGAGTTTTCATTTATATGTTGAAACAAATATTCAACCTTACCGTACAGGAAAAAAATAACTGAAAATGAAAGGTCGTTTTTGTTTTCATAAAGTCAACATTAATTAAAATACTATGAATAGCTAATCCAAAAAGAATAGAGGAAAAATAGATAAGTAATTCAAGCACATTTGCTCTACGTTTGATTTGAGTAAATTATTGTTTTTATAGTTTTTAACTCTAATCTACTTTTTTACATTCTAATGGATAAATGTTTTGCTAAATATTCTGCGAAGAAATGAGCATCAGTGCCACATTAAATACTCATGCTTTTCCTAGTGTGTAAATCCGCAAAGAAAAATACATATGAGTACTCGTTAAGGTAATCGAAAAGTACCGATACATACAACATCTCTTTAGGGGTTGCGCCAGCAATCTGAATACTCATGCTGACAAGCTGTACTCGCTGGATGCGTACATGCATTACACCGTAAAAAAGGCGTCGAACGAATCCCTTGAGTTTTTGTAGAACTTTACCATACATTAACGAGCTACTTTTCTACACAAAGCTCCTTCTGCAGACAATAGAGAACGCTTCACTTATGCGACAATCAAAATTTCCTTGCTGAACCTCTAAAATTTTAACATCTTATCAAAAGAAACATACTAACTGCTCGATCAACCGTTTTCTATATTTCGTTTTCAAGAATCAATATATATCCGGGTTTTGTTATAGCTTTTCAATGCCTATTAGTTGAAAGCATCGACATCGCAAATTGCTGATCTCCATTAGTATCATATGATGAATGTCCTATCTGGATTTATATCCTTAACATATTTATTTTCGTGTCTCTTTCTAACGCTCATTTTCATCCTAGTTCAAAAGAATGCGACATTTGTTCACTTTCATTTTAACGCAGATAGCAGAGACAAACGTACGGGTTAGTACACTCTAAAAAATTTTCGTATCCTAGGAAACCCAAAGGGGTTCGGAAACCTACTCGGAAACCCTTTTCCGTTTCCGAGTGGGTTTCCGAAGTTTGGAAGCGTTTCTGAAAATACCCTTTGGGTTTCCGAACGTTCAGAAACTCAAGGGTTTCCGACAATACTCAACTGAACACTCTAAAAGTATTCTAGAATACCTTTTTCTTGCTTTCGGAAACCCAATAGGTTTCTCGAAAATCGGAAAGGTATTGTCGAAAACCCATATTAGTAGTAAAGCTGGATTGATACCCGAAAGGGTATGCGAAAATACCTTTTCATTTCCTAAATGGTTTCCGAAAATACCCAATGTGAAAAAGGGTATCATAGGATACCGGGATGGGTTTGCAAAAATACCCAATCTGAAAAAGGGTATCATAGAATACCGAGTTGGGTTTGCGAAAATACCCAATTTAAAAATAGAATCATTGGAAATCAAAATAGGTTTGCGAATTTTGTGTTAACCCCTAAAAGAGTTCCTAAGGTTTTCAACTTTTCTGATACCTTCATCAATTTTCTGATTGACATCTCAAAAACTTCGCAAAAGGATAGATGTGGATTTCAACCTTTTTTTTTTCATATTCTTTCTCATGCTCAGCTTTGAAAATTTTTATGAAACAGCAAAACACCGATCTAATTAATAATTGCGTATTGAATTATTCAAAATTGTTCCTGTGTAAACAGTTCCATGAAATGTGAAGCCCGATCATGCTTCATAAATAATGGAATGTTATTTGTGCGTTTTACTGTTGATCTTATTCTTCGGAATATAAAAGAGAATACAATATTAACAAATCGGGAACAAAATAAATAAATTAGACAATTACCATATGTCTTTTTTCTTCCTTTTTTTGGTTGAGTTTCGCTAAAGTAAGAATTATATTGTAGCTATCGTGGATGTCAAAAATTACAGGAGGAATGAATTGCAGAAATTTCTATTCTTAAGTGAGAATTACAGTTGGTTTATTTCTAAAGATTATAGGCTTTTAAAACAAACAGAAAACTGCAACTTAAGTCCACATGTTAACAAATTAATGTCATTTATAAGACATATGAACAATATGTTTTCATATAACTTTCACAAGAACATAAATCATGGATCTGATACTTTTGTCTTGTCTTCAGTCACTTTCTAGCTTTGTTCTATAATCGAATAAAAAGAAGGGTTCAATGTGTAAAGTACAAATCAATGCAATTTCTCTTATGTTTAATTATGATTCGCTTTAACTTCATTAGGTTGTGTCGTACTAATTTTGAGATTGGTAGAGGGCAACTGACAGACGAAGTAAAATAAGGAAAACAATGGTTATTTCATATTTTCTAATATTAATAAAATATTATATTGAAAAAACACTAATTTCTAAATGTAGAGAAGATCGTTAATCATTTTACAATCTTGTTTATAATTTCTCCGTTAGAGAATAGTTTATTAGAAGTTTTACTAAAATATTACGTTCTGGAAGGGAGATGAAATTGCTTATATTTACATTGCATTCATTGGAGACTTAGCTGGAGAACAACTTTTATTTTTACTGTCAGTATAAGAGAAATTTAGCTACAGGTTGACCATTTAAGCGTGCTTTTTATATTTGTTCTAAATTTTATTTAACAAAAGGCTTTGGGACGTCTATTTTATTACCGAATTTGATGCTATTATTATATATGAATATAAAGATGCCTTAATACTAGAAGAAAGAATAGTTAG